TTTCCTGTGTTTTTTGTTACAGTGTGTGTTACAGTGTGTGTTTTACAGTGTGTGTGTTACAGTGTGTGTTACAGTGTGTATTCAGGCTCATCAGACTCATAGAAATGAATTTTTATCACACATCTCCAGAGAAAAAACTACTTTAAGTAATTTTCCCCTGGGATTATTAGAGTATTTCTGATTCTGATTCTGACATAGCAGGCGACTGTTTTGAGAGAAAAACCTCTATACACCTCCCGTACGCATCCCAGTGTCACTCCAAATCATGTTACAGACCCGCTGATCCACAAGACGACGCAGTGTCAGTGTCAAATTTTGCCTCACCTAGATAGGAAAATTATATTCTTCAGGTGCAATACCAGCAGTACTATAAAGAGCGTCAAAGTCTGTGTTTAGAGGAGGTGGATGGATAAATGGATGCCTCAAACACACAGTACTTTCACCCAGGAGACAATCACACTGTTTGAGTCTGTGTGAAACGAAAAGTTTGCATTTAAAAAGCTCTCTCTATGTTACAAAGTGATTCGCTGTATTTCCAGTTAATTTCACTGTGAAGGAGATGAGGGGGAGATCCCTGTTTCAGATAAGGCATGTCCTTGAAGTAAGGAACGTATGTTTGTTAGTGACAGTTCTTGTGCTGTACTTTGCATTTAAAAATCCCCAGACGACAGCACTGAGATCTCAATTTGTCTTGTATTGTAAGACTATTCCGTGTCGGCTTGATGTGTTTGAACATGTTTGCCTTAATAATTCTATATCATGATAATATGTCAATGCTGTGTTTACAGCTTGACCCCCAAATCAAGGTGCAACATAACTGATGTCACTTTCATTTCAGCATGTAATCCAGACGAGATGTTTATATGCCACAGTAGCTCAGTTACCACTGAAGTAGCCCAGCAAGGACATTAAGTTTCACAAAATTGGCATATGGGCCTATCCATGTTTCTGAAACCAGAATATGACATTTATATACATGAACACAACCTGGATACTCCCTCTGTCAAAAACTAGATAAGTAAACGTAGTAAATACACAATTTGACCTAGAATTTGGCATGTTCCCAAACTGCTTTCGAACATAGACTCAACTTCCCCTACATTTAAAAGCACATTTAAAAACAATTTAATGCTTTCAAAATAAGATGAAGCAATCTAGTAAGAAGTGCCAGGGGAAGTAAACTAATTCCAAGTATCTACAATCGCAGAAATATGTTGAAACCTGTTGGTGCTGTTGGCAGTTTAAATCAGATCCACTGCTGCTCTCACAGCGAAACGCTTTCTTTGTCAGCGAGCAGATGTTCCATTGTTTGGCTCTGCGGTGTAAGGTTGCTTCAGTTAAAGTTGGGACACTTGCTGCATCTTTTGAATTTAGCCCCATTGAGTGCCGTCACTACCAACCCCCACCTCCTTCTGCCCCCCCAAGCTACTCAGAGAGGGGCTTTACCCCTCCCCCTGTCCCCTTTAACCCCCTGCAGACCTCATAGATCCCCCACCACCGCCACTATAACCCCCCTCTAGATCTCTACTTCAGTGCTTGTGCTCTTCTTTGTCTCCACCTCGGTCAGGCCCTCAATAATCAGAACCCCCCGCCACCAAAATTACTGCAGTATGAGATTGTATATAGAGTGTATTTGCATACATACATATTATAATATACCTTTAAATGCTAACATGCAGAATCACACCCACGCTATGTGTGTTATCAGATTGTCTCTTATCACATGGTGAATGTATAGTGTATAGACGCCTCTGTTCGTCCTGCATGGTTACAATTCCTTCTTTTCAGCCAGCGTCTGAATGTGACTGCTGTTGTCGTCAGGGCCTGAGTGACCACCACTGTGGAGCTTATGTAATACTCAGTGCCCTGCTTTCCTCTTCCCCACTATAGGCCTGTATGTGTGTGTGAAACAGTGAGAGAGAGAGAGAGAGAGAGAGAGAGAGAGAGAGAGGCTCTGTTATAAGGCCTAGGAAACACACAGGCAGCACAGACTTCCTGTTTTCGTGTTGAGCCCATTGGAGGCAGGAAGTGAGAGGAACCGCTGCTCTGCTCTGTTCTTTCTGCTCTCTGGTGGGTGAATTTAACGCTATGAAAAGATGCTAGTGCTTAGTCAGCTGCCACCCACTTACTTACACTACAGATTTAGGAGGGTGGGGTGAATCTGAAAGCCAATAACAACAAATCCAATAATGTCACTTGAGTGGCGGTGTGGGTGCTCGTAACGGTCTGTGCTGCCACTTCAGCAAATGACCTTCATATGGGTCTTTTACCTTGGCGGCAGATGATCGCGAGCTCTTATCTCTAGTAAGACAAGGAGGAAAGCCTCTGTTTGTGTGTAATAACAGCATATGAGAATGTGTGTTTTTATGGAAGATGAGGAAGGGTTCCAGCCAAAACTAAGAGGAACCCCAGTTAGAACAAAGAGTCTGGTGGTGGCAAACATGCCTGAGAGGTTGCTTTGAAGGACTGATTAAGGTTATAATAGTCATCTGCCTTCAGGCTGTGTGTTGGGGGGTGGGGGGTTGATAAGAGGTATGGGGGTAGTCCAGGCTGTTACCCTCTTTGTTCTGGCCCACTCCACTCATGCCTGCTTTTGTCTCCACCCACAGTCTACCACTGAGAGAGCATTATCTCTCTATCCGTCTCGCGCCAAAACAGAGAAGGGGCGTGCTGCTTTTTCTTCCTCCTTTCTTATTCTCTGTCCTTTTTCCAAGGTACATGGTGTATCTGACACATTTCCAGGGCAACTCAGTGATTGCAGGTACAGAGTAGTTGTGCAAAAATCTCAGAGTACAGCCAGTGCAGTGCCCATATCCCTCCTTCTTTCTATTTCTGTGTCTCTTTCTCTCTAGCATTTCCCGCCACTCCAGGGTGCATGGGGAGGGGAGAGAAGGGGAGTGGTGTCACAGCCGGTATGAAGAAAGGCTGGCTCTTCTGAGCATCGCGCCAAATGCCGGCGTTATTCAAATCAGCTCAGTGGGTGCGGCCCAACTGTCTCCATGTCCTGTTAACCCCCTCTGAGCTTCAGACTGGTAAGCAGAGACACAAAGGCAGAGGCAAGTGTGGGCTCAGGGCTTTGACACATAAAGGGTAAATGTATCACTGATGTTTATTAGATACAGCCGAATATGAAGTATTTACTTCCTCCAGTGAAACAAATTAAAATAATTGTATTAATGTGAGTTTTGCTGTGGCTCTTCAGTCATGAAATGTAGTATTTCTACATTATATGAAGCTTTATATTGTCACATTTAACCAATCATTCTTTAATGAGACAGGGTGTTAGTCATTATGTTCTAAACTTTGAAAATCTGTGTTTATTCTACTTAAACCATAGGTTTTAGGTTAAAATAGTACATACTGATTACCACAGACATTTAAAGTCCCTATAGTGAGGAGTATTACAGCCATACAGCTACTATGCCAAAGTTAAAATGTTTCAAGATACAAAAAAACTCTGGTTTTCAGATCAACTTCCTCTCTCACACTCACAGTTTCTGTTTCAGGTCCTCTTTGTCTACAACACCCGAGGAATGAATGAAGCAGTAAAGTATACAGGCCCACAACCTAAGGCTGACAGGCTGACCTATCCTCTACTGCACTCTAGTGGGTGTGAGCATAAAATGCAATAAATGACTGATTTGCCTTTTTCAATACCAACACATTACTGAGAGTCTCTCAGTAATAATTAAAAAAGCAGCACAACGGAGACACACATACATTTTGGGACACTAATGAGTGTGCAAGTTTAATTTGCAATAACGTTTTAATTTTAACACATCTAATACAAAACAAATACGTAATATTTTGTGCAATTACAGTTTCTCAGGTTTCAAACAATAAAATATACACAAAATCCTTGAGCTGTCTTCAGTCAGTCGATAAAAGCTCTTTGCCCCTGGTCCCTGGAGACCCTGGAGGAGAGTGCATTACATCGGCATACTTGCAAATGTCAGTTTCATGTGTGCTGCCTCTAGAAGTAGGGGGCTGATAGGTGTAATGGACGCCTGCTGTTTTGTAATTTCATGCTATCTTGATGTTAATGCCTGTAAAGTATGGGAAGCAACACTGTATATTTTCACCGAAAAGTCAGTATTTACTACCTCTGTAATGCTGACAGGTAAATAAAGATGATGGCTGATGGATGCAGTTGTATCCAGCATGTGCCCGTCAGGTTGCTGGTTTTAATATTTCTTTGTTCCTTGCATGGATGTCTGCTCTTCTTCACCGAAAACATCTGTAGTAGGTAAACTGCCTCATTGCTGTGATAAAAGCATAGCTAATATTATTTATCATGCGTTTATGCTCTTCAAAGCGAAACTTAGACTTTCATCTTTGTTCCCTGCATCACCAGTCTGTTTCTGATTTATGCCATATTTGGAGGGTTAGATATGCAGTCGGGTGTCCCCCACAGCCCCCACATCAGATCCTAGATATGGGAGTCCCAGCCACTCTGACTCCCTGGCCGTTGCCTGGCAACTGGGACGGCTGCTCCGTAATTCAATCTATGGAAAGGTCCTGCAGGGGTTTAGATGGAAAGAGGCAAGAAGAGTTATCATTAGATGCACAGGGGAAAGCAAATGACTCAGGATGGATTTCCCACACCACTGAGCAGGAATATCAAATGGTTTTGTAAGATTGGGAGGTTAGAGCACATGGGATAAAATGCACCTCTAAATTGCTTTTGTACTAAGAAAATCTAAAAAAAAACAAAAAAAAACAAACATCTTCATTTAAAATTATCTATTTATATACTGTATGAAAAATTAGCTTTGCTTATTTTCCACCTCTCTATTAGGAGAACTGAAGCATGAATTCATTACAAGCATCATGACATCATGACTGACACAGCAGCGGACCTGTTTTATCCAATGGGATTCATCAACCATTTGTCACACACAATAAATCACATGTTCTGCTGCTGCTCCAGGGAATTAGGGGGAGGATGCACAATAGCTTGAAGTCAGCAGTGTGTGTTAAAGCGGGAGAGAGGAACACACAGAAAAAGACAAACACAGAAGAGCTGAACGAGGAATATAATGCGTATGATGCTGCAGATCAGAGGAAATACTAACATCTTTTTTTAAATCTCTCTCCATCTCATTTTTATTCTGCAGCATCTCACTCCTTGTCTGTCTCTTTAGCGCATTTGGCTAAGTGCCTCTGATCTCATCTCCTGAGTGCACCAGGACTGAATTCAAATTGGGAATGTGCAAGACTGAGTAAGGACTTTTCAGGGAACTCTTGCCAGAGAGATAGAGAGAGATATTAGAAGGAGAAAGAGACTAGAAAAGAGAGCAAACTGAGGACACACTGGGACTCAGTGTGGACCTGAGAGAGACGGAGGAGAGTGGTGAGTTGAAAAGGTAAGATGAGTCTAAACAACGGTCAAACTCTGACCGCCAGAGAACAGGTCCTGACTGGAAATAACAGTAGCAGCAGCAGCAACCGAGCTGCCTGGGAAGATGCTAGGGTGGTTTTGAAGCCCTCCACTCCCACCAGGAAACCTAAACCAGTGAGTATCTCTACAGACATCCTTATGCAGCATCCATGTACAGGTACACTTCCTGAGTTTCCACTGAGTTGTTGACGGCAAAGATGTTCACGAAAATCTAATTGAATCTGCTTGTCATCATTTTGGAGCTGAATTTTGTTGCTCTTTCTTGCTAGTCACCTGCAAAGGCACACGTGTGCTCTCTACTCAAGGCTGTTTATTTCACAGTGGCCATAACTGATGTCACATGATGAATGACAGATGAGACAAGACAGACACTCTGACCTCTCAACTTTATCAGAGTCCAGCCGCAGTGAAAACAGCAGGAGGGTTAATAGCAGGTTTACTAGCAAGTGCTGCAGTTGAAGCCTTACTGAAAGAAAGTTACATGAAGATGTAGCTGGGTGAAACAAGATACAGAGGCTCAGCTATGCTTTATTGTGCCACCTGGAAACTGAGAGAAGTGTAGAGGGCTCTTGTTTCAGATCAGGTGCAGGGTTCTTTGTAAAGGCTATTGGCTCGTTTGGATTACTTACCTGGACAGGATAAGCCAAAATACAAAAACAGACCCAACAATTACAACTTCTGGCTCTCGCAGGATGCAGGGAGTTGTCTCTGTGGTAAGTTTGGGAGCAATGTGACATAGAGTCTTTGTTTGATAGTCTTTAAGTAGTGGAGGTTATTTCTCACCCTGTACGTAATCCAAGGTTTCTGATATCTTACAGTTTTTGTAGATTAATGCTGTCTTTAAATCCGAATAAAAGTATCTATTTCAAGGTCAGCCCACTCATAACAAATTCAAAACGGATTACAAAATATGTCGTGATTATCAGTAAAAAAACGGTGTTGTTGTCCTGGCCTCAATAGTTAAAAGGTGTCTGGTATGTGAGCCTGCACTATCAGAGTCTTGCAGAGGAAAGTATTTCATATCTCACTGTCACTTCTATTCTATCCCACCAGCTCACTCAGTTTACCCACTGTTGTATATCAGGCAGTGGCAGTAACGCCTTTATTAAATTATTCATTTGTATTGGGTACTGTCAGAGTCAGCAAATCAAACCAATATTCTTCTGCTACTGCTGAGAATATGAACAATGTACTGTGTCCCTACAGGCAGAAAAGTTTCAACTCTGATTGGATAATCTGGGTTTGTGAAGAACGAGCCAAAGCTGGACGTAAATGAAACGTTTCTTTAAACTTTTATCCCCCACAGCCCAAGCCGGAAAATGCCATTACCATCGCCGTGTCCTCACGAGTCCTCTTCCACATGGAGAAGGAACAACAGATCTACAAGCAACAAGGCATGGAAGAGTACATCAAGTATCAGGTGGAGCATGAAATGCAGCCTTTCAGCCCTGGGCCTGCCTTCTCCTTTGTCAAGGTCAGAGGCTATAAAGAGAAAGAGGTGCAGAAATTAACACTATATCAAACCCGCTGCAGTGTGATTCCTTGTTGTCAGTGTTACATGTTAGGTCGTGTCTCTGGAGGCGGTGAATGAGCAATAAGCATTAAACACCAACCCACTCACTTCCATCCCCACTGCAGTGATTTATTGTGTTTTTGTATAACTCAAATCTGTGTTTGGTGGTGTTGCCAGGCTCTGGAGGCTGTGAACACTCGACTAAGGGAGCTTTACCCTGACAGTGAGGAGCTTTTTGATGTTGTGCTCATGACCAACAACCATGCATACGTTGGCCTAAGACTCATCAACACCATCAATCATCACCGTGAGTTACTAATGCACATTAATGATAAAGACTTATAAGACATAAGTGTGAAATATCTTTTTGTCTGGCGTATGTCACAGCCTGTGCTGTAGGGCTGCACAATATGGTAAAAACATCATATTGGGATTGCAATATGATTCACGATTAGTGTGGGAATTATCATTTTCCCAACAAAAATTTAATTTTCACTGAAAAAAACTATTGAAATCATCATGATGAGAATTTTTGGGCAATTTATGGGTTGAGAAAATTCTTGCACTTTTCAAGTTAAATTAACCATTTAACCATTTGTTTTTTGTGGCCTATGAAAAGTTGACACTGTCTTTCTACATTCAGGAAAATATGTTTAATCGCTTTATTGCCAAGAGTTAGACAAGAAAACTGATAACGCTCTCATCTCTATACAGTAAATATGAAGCTGCAACCAGCACGGTTAACTTAGCACAAAGACGGAAAGTACTGAGACGCACCAACATAGTGTTGGTTTCTGTCTTTTCAAGGGATTTATTGACAAAAAGAAAAATATATAATGTCGCCAGCCTTATTGTTTAAATGAACGAAGCTACTGTTCACTGAGTTCATTTTCTTATACACTTTCTTTTCCGCAGAGTGGGTTCAAGCCATTTACTTTTTTCTCTCATGCTGGAGAAAAAGTAAAGTATCTCTGATTCTGATTCTGATTCTGGAGGGTCAATTAACTGTTCATATAGCTTCAAATATGTCCTGTTGAGAGGGTTCCTTAAAGGTCACTAGGGTCGCCCTTTTCATTGCTTTTGAGATCAATAACGAGCCTGTGAACTGAATTAGACATGAGCACACTGTATGTGTAGATGCAGCACAAATTAATAGTAAATACGTACTTGGACAGTTTTCAGGTATTATAGGTCAATTTCAGCGTCACCCACCATTATAACCTTTTAGAAAAACGCCTGTGTTTTCATAAGGTGATCTCCTAAAATAGCACAAGACCTACCACAGGTCCGTATACGTACACACACACAAACACACTGAGGGTGGGTTGGACTCAAGCAATGTGCCGTTGCTCTGTTCTCTATAGCTGCTCTGCACAGCTGGTCCTCTCTATTCCCACACTGTGAGAGACTCCATGACCCATTGTCCCTCGCCAGGTCACACAGACACGCAAGTGTGTACATGAAGTCTATTCAGGACATCATAGAATCCTCTGTTGACTCAGGGAGAGGAAGAAAGAGACAGAGGGAGAGAGAGGCATCTTAGAGGCTCTTTCCTCTAATGTAGCTGCATGTTTTTCTTCCTTTTCCATGCTCTGCCTCCTAGAACCCCACACCACCAGCAATCAGTATTTGATGTTGAATGTAAAAATAGGTAGTTGTGCTTCTGATCACCCCTGATTATTTTTTCTTTTTTGTAATTTTTTGAAATCGTAAAAACTTGAAATTTCTCATGTTGGAAGCATTTCTGGTACTTTGATATTATTGATCAAAATTACTATAACAGTATTTAACTTATATCACCATTAATACAGAAATATACAGGTAAGGGAAATGTGAGTGACATTGTAAAAATAAACAATAAGTAAGCAGTGGCTCATCCTTTATAAAAGCATATCCTGAAGGTTGTGATCACTTCTCTTTCATATCTTCAGCTCCTCACTGAACTTTTGATTCCTCTTCTCTGCAGAGTTGTTCATCGAGCGTTTCTGTATGACAGGGGGAAACAGTCCCATAGGCTACTTGAAGGCCTACCACACAAACCTTTACCTGTCTGCTGATCCCGTCAAGGTCCGAGAAGCTCTGGAGGAAGGTCAGTGCAAAGGGAGAAGCTACATATTACTGAGAAGCTGTAATACTAGACCAAGGAGGCAAAAAGTTAGTGTCTATTCTACATGCTACCTAAGATGTACTGATACACATTTTCAACAATTCATCCAGGTATAGCAGCAGCCACCATGTTCACCCCAGAGAAGATAACGGAAGTGTCGGAGACTCAGCTGCGTGTTGCCTTTGATGGTGATGCCGTCCTCTTCTCTGATGAGTCTGAGCGCATTTATAAGGCCCATGGACTGGACAAGTTCTTTGAGCACGAGAAGGCACACGAGAACAAGCCTCTGGACCATGTACAGTATAATCATAGTGACAATTATCAGTATCACACTGCTATTGGAAATGTAGTGCATGAAAAGAGAGTTGTGGTTTGCTACAACTTACTCTTATTTTTTGTATTTTTGACCACGATTTCTATGATTTACGATAAAATTGTACCGACAAAAGGTATATCTGAGATCTGGAAACATGGTGACATCAGACGGGCTGTTAACAAGCAAGATTTTAAAAAGAAGCTTCAGTGTTCACTCACAAAGTACACTTACCATTTGCCTTTTCTGTTCCATATAAAATTTACTAATCTGGGATGTTGTTTAAAACCGTCATCTATTTGTCATGTCACCACATTTCCATATCTCAGGAATTATTAGACCAATGATGGCTAATATAATATAAGTTGTAGTAAAGCAGCTGGTAGACTACCAAATAGAGACTGTGGGCTGACTGTATTTGTTCTTCTTTCTGCAGGGACCATTGAAAGGTTTTCTGGAGGCTTTAGGAAAACTGCAGAAGAAGTTTTATGGCAAAGGCCAGCGCATGGACTGCCCCATCCGGACCTACTTGGTGACAGCTCGCAGCGCAGCCAGTTCTGGTACCAGAGCCTTAAAAACTCTGCGTTCGTGGGGTCTGGAGATCGATGAAGCTCTCTTTCTTGCAGGGGCACCCAAGGGCCCCATGCTTGAGAAGATCAGGCCGCACATATTCTTTGATGACCAGATGTTTCATGTGGAGGGAGCAGCGGAAATGGGAACAGTAGCGTGCCATGTGCCGTATGGAATAGCTCAGAGAGATAGCAAGAAAGGAATTAAAGACATGGAGACTTCTTCAGGAGCCAAATAGCCTTGACATCACTGTGCGGAGGAGACATTTCATTTAGGCTTTAACCAGCTGAGGATGTTTTATTTAAAAGAGAAAATGTCCTGGAAATGGGTTGAGAATGTCATAAAACCCCAGGTGATGCAATTAAAATTCCTTCAGTCATCAGTTAATGACATTTCAGTTCAGAGGGTTATTTTATCCATTGGTTCATCTGTTCATAAAGAGGTACAACGTTGGTTTAGTAACCTGAATCTTAACAGATTCATTATAAGCCATTAATTAGTTACTGTGGACTTTTATGCAGTCACGTTTTTCTGTTTCAAGATTGAAGTAAAGATCACTGTAATAAAAAGTACTCTTTCTTGTCTTTTTCCTCACAAAAAGCAAACTTTATTATTCATTGTGTGAAAAAGATGTGAAAAAAGGGTTTCAACCTCTTACTCTCAGTCAAGAATAAGAATTAGAAGTGTTAAAGTGTTATTAGTGCAGGAAAGGCTTTTTACTTTACAGAAAGACCAGTGAGTGACCTCCAGTCTTTATCCAGAGAAAATAAAAAAGGATGGAAATTGATGGTGGCCAAAATAATTCTTCCTCTTCACAGCAGGAGGAGACAAACACCAAACAGCTGATTACAAAAGCTTTAATGTACCAGTGAGTCACTATTATGTTTGCAATAATCAGATCTAATGAATACAATATTTTTAGTAATTTAGTAATCAGTAACTACAGAGAATACACCATGGTAATCTTTGTATTTTCTATCACACTATTATAACTCCTTACACATCAAACATATCTTTTTTGCCCCTTTTTACTTCAACGAGTATCCAAAAGTTAAATGATGAATAACATTTAGATGAACTTATGGTGATTTGAAGGAACACTCTAAAAGTAAAGTTGTTGTTTCTATTTACAGTACATTATTGTTGTTCATAAGATTCGGTTACTCAGAAATGATTGTCTCATATTGATCAGAAAACAATATATTAATCAGCAAATATATT